CTCTCTCTTCTCTGCTGATATTAGAAGGTGGTGGTTTGGCGTTGCTGAGGCAGGCTGAAACTTTATCCCCTGTTAACAATAAGTGTTAATTAGGTGTCAACGATAGCCATGTGATGTGAGTATCAGTCACATGGAGGCTGGGCTTAAAAGCCTGAAGTTTGCCTGAAACTCTCAGACTGAAGAAGTCTCTTGGAGGAGAGACGAAACGTTTCATTAGAGAAGAACCCGTCCAGAAGACCTATCCAATTTTTTTTTCTTTTTGATTTTTACCTGGATTACTGAGATGCATCAGGATACACATTTAACAGTTTTCCAGAAACAAGTTGGGCAGTACCTCTTATTCCATTTACATTTTTGGTTAGTACTAAAAGCATCTTTCTTTCGAAGCAAACTGCATTTTCCATAAACTAGTTTATTTTCTAAGCAAAAGTGTGGCCAAAACTAATTTAGCCGATTTGTTTTTCAGGTTATATATTTGACATTGTGAGAGTGCTGTTCCCCTTGCAAAGGAAGGGAAGGCACCAGGGACCATGAGTGAGAATGGCCCTCCAACGGAGGCGCCCATGTACTTTGAGGTGGAGGTGGATCACCTGGAGCGAGACGACGAAGAGGACGACGACAAGATCCACTTCGACAAAGATGAAGACCTGAATACTGAACCTTCGTCCTCGTCTGGTCGTGTTTACGACCGTACCACAGTGCTCATCGAGCGTGACCCCATTCGACTGGACGAGGAGGGCGAAGAAGAGGGCCACTGTGGTGGGGACGAAGATGGAGTCACTTTTCTAACGGAAGGGGAGGGCGATGCAGATGAGGAGGAGGGTCCTCTGGCCTTCATGGCCGACCCCGACGGGATGTCACAGGGTTATGTGCACCACACAATTTCTCCAGATCAGATCCAGTTCACAATAAATCCAGGCTCCACCCCAATGCCACGCAACATAGAGGGGGCTACACTCACCTTGCACTCAGAGTGCCCAGAAACTAAGCAGAGAGAGGTAAGCTCATTTTAGTGCATGCCTTGTAATGTAAAGTACATCAGCTACATAATGATGAAATATATATAATATACGCTTGTTGGCTTACTGTCTCCATTGATTGTTGTGAAACTAATAAGTGTCTAAGATTGGTTATAGCTAAAATAAATTATTTTGTATGTAAGCTGTTTCAGTAATTCCAGCTAATTGCTCAACAAGGGAGCAGATGCTTTAAAGATTTTTTTTTTGGACAAATCAGGTTTTCTCAGACAGCAAAGATACATTTTGTGGCAACAGTGTTTCTTTCAAAATGACATTGTGTTTGTAGCACACTAGAGGTTCAGTTTGTGAAGAATAACGCACTCCATTGTCTTGTTTATGGGATTTTTAATTATGTTATTCAAAAGAATACAGAAAGTAACAAAATAAAAGCACAGCTAGTTGTTTATTTTATTCTGTAAAGCTCCCTTGAGTACTACCTTCATAAGACGTGGCTCAAACAACATTTTTTTAACCAAATGAATTAACATCTTGCATATATAGAATTTATAGGGCTGCAGGTGCACTGCGGTCATTCAAGGTTAATGGTTGTTTTCGACTTTCAGCTGCATTCTCCATCATTTTAAAGTTTTCATTATATTTTAGTCAACCAAGTATATACACTATGTAGCCTCAGCCATTATATTTGCCCCTTTGTTTTAAATCTGGAGATTAAGCTATGTTTAAAAATAATTCTGACAGCTGTGACCTGCTTTTATTTTTGAATGTAGTATGAACAAAAGCAAATAAGAATAAAAATCTTCTTTGGTACTGCTTAACTAGCCCTACACATATTTTATGACCAGACAAATGACAGACACAAACAAAACAAGGCTTCATGCTGCTGCCTGAAGCATAAAACTACAGGTGCTCAATGTAGAGCAGAACATAATGGCTGTGTCCAAAACGACAGGACGGGTCCTCCGGAGGACCCAGACTCCCCGGTCTCGGAGGACCGGGTCCTTGGTAGACCGGGAAGACCGGAAAAAAAGAGGCTGTGGATTTGGACGGTCTAGCCTCCCCTCCTTACCC